TCTACTTACCAGAACAAATACAATAAGGGGGGCGGAGCCTGGCACTGAACCGGACCGGACCGGACCATTTCTCCCAGCTCCAAGGAACAAATATACAATCCAAAGGATATCTCGATAACAAGCCCCCATCCGACCCTGCAAACACCAGATACAACCTGGGGACACCCCGCTGAACCCACAGATGCCCTTCCAGTACTCCCCGAAGCACCTAAAGGTAAAACGCAAAACCGGGGCCTACCTCAAGCCCTCATACCGCGACCTCGAGTATCTCTGGGGCGGGGACCTTGAGGGAAACGCAGCAGAGCTGTGGCCAACACAAACGGCACCTGCCAACATGTCTATGGGGCGCAGAAACCAGAAATCCACACCCTGTAATGCACCAGAACAAAGGGACATCGGAGCTGTGCTCCAGCGGCACACCTCAACCAAGATGGCGGCCGCCGAATACCCACCTTCACCAGGGTCTCCCCACACAGCTGCTCCTGCAACATCCCAGCTACAGAGTCCAGCGGAAGACACACAGCAACAGCCCACAGCATCAGCTGGTAACACTGAGCCTGCAACCAAACAAGACCTCCAAATCCTATACACCATGTTACAGGACATTCAAGGCCTACTTGCTGCTGACCTGCCCATCCTAAAATCCTCCCTGCAACAACTCACAGGCAGACTGGAGGCAACTGAAGCAGATGTTAAAGTGCTCCGCCAAGACACCTCCACCATGCAGGCATCTATAATCCAACTACAGGCAGCCCATCAGGCTCTATCACTGCAGGTGGCAGCGCAGGAGGACAGGTACCGCAGCAACCATGTTAAGATAAGGGGCATCCCAGCAGCCGTCCCTCAGGAGGAGCTGCCACACTACGTGAGAAGGCTACTAGCCACAGTGTTGCCACCCACCACTGCAAAAAAAATAAACATCGCTGGGATGTATCGCCTTCCGACGCCCACCACTACCACTGCCACAGCTTCAGGCGACGTCATACTCCGCTGCGCACTACCTCAAGACAAGGGGCAAATAATGACAGCGGTAAGGAACAAGACCCCGCTCACATTTGAGGACTCACAATTGTCCTTTTACCAGGACTTATCCAAAGCCACCTTGCAGTGGCGAAAATCCCTGAACCCTGTCACCACCCGACTACGGGCTGCAGGAGTGCCCTACAGGTGGGGACCCCCACGATCCCTCCTTGTCACACACAAGGGGACCACACGAAAACTAACCACAGGGACTGATATCCCAGCGTTCCTCGCAGCTCTGGATATGCAGGAGGCGACGGGGGGCCCCATCGGACTCAAATCGCACCCACGGATGGGACCCATCCAATGTGACACCATTTGTGCCAAGATCTGCAGCCGACGGCCCGCCGGACACCTGACTGGAAGGGACGCTTTCAGCCCCGACCCAAACCCACTGGAGGGACTCGTTTAACCAACAGCTCTAGGCTGCACAGTTGCAGAATTACAAAGTTTTACTGCTATGATTTTGTTCACATATTTTTACCGTATTTTTTTTTTGTATACTTTTGTTTATCAATGCAACACCACCCACACGAAGCCACGATCTTTGACCTTGGTCACCCAGGAATAGGGAGATCAGGCCCACCATAACACAACCAGGCATTTATGACGCAATGCCATCTATGGCCCTAGTCCGGTTCTATACACATGCTCAGTCACGTATCGCCAACACCCCCGCTACCCCCTTGGTCAGGGGCAACACCTTCACGGAGATGTTAGCCATGCACAAAGGCAGTCATCTCCCCCCTCCCCTTTTAACGAGGAGGGCAGCACTCACACCACTAACTCCCTAACACAGAATCAGCAAGATCTAACTCAAGACCAGTACCTGGTCCCAAGCCTGCTGTCACATAAAATCAGGCCTACTAACGGTGGTTCCACCCCTCACTACCTGCCATAGCATGGTATACCGCTCTACTCGCTACACTCATATATAGCTGCCGGTATTTGCCATGATCTTTACCTATAAGCAATTACGTCTTGAATACATGTCTATCTGTATGTATATAGATCCCCTACCCACCGGCAAGCTGTGAACAGCGCATCGTTTCAATACTCAGAATGAATCTTTGAACCTCGTAATCATAGCCAGTGCGTAGCCTATGGTAGTATCCTCTCCACTCTTTTCCCACCTCAAGCGCTGAATACTACTTATCATTGATGTTTTCCTTCCCCTTAAAAAAAAAATTAAAAAATGCAGCAATCTCAACATGTATAGTAATACTCCTTGTAACATTTTGTACTGCTCTTTATTGACATGTTTATGTTTCCTATGTACTTAACAATGCACTACCAAAATAAAGAATTTAAAAAAAAAAAAATACAATAAGCTGTATTTGTTCTGGTGACTATAGTGTCCCTTTAAGTTTGGAAGCTTAAGAGAGATGTATGGGAACAAAACTTGTGTGGACTGGCTGACAATAAAATTAGTTTAGGTAATGCAGACTTTGGTCTCTCTAACACTGTGGCATGTTCCCTTTCTTCTACACTCACTACATACAGCTTTTCTCTGTCTCAGACCATATACCAGGAACTTCTGCCTGCTAGTAAGAAGGCAAGGAGACAAGTGGACCAGCGAGTGCTAGGGGACAGTCCTTAGAAAGCATGGAGTGAGCGCATCATTAGATGCATTTATGTCAAGCTCATGGTGCTGCCTTTATAGTATGCCCTTAGTTGGACAGCCTGCAAGATTGGCAGGCAGCCTGACATGCATTCATGCCAGGCTGTCCTTCAAATTCTTTGGACAGACATGCCCCTTTTTGGGCATGTTCTCCCCTTTTTGGCAGGTCTTGTCACGTGATTCGCGCCAGTGGCACACCCTTTTACCCTGCACATTGACTTCCTGCTTCACTGGACATTGCTGTTAGGGGTTATGGATTTACTTGAAAGATTAAATCATAAATTAGAGAGAGATTAGCACAGAGTATGTGTTTTCTTATAGCTGCATCCTATGAGCTTCCTTCCAGCACCTTCTCCATCAGATACATGACGCTTGGGAGGTAGGAGTGTTTTAGTGTTTTTGGTCGATAAGATTCTATAATTAGGCCCATCATATTTGTCAGCACCAGGCCCAGTGTGCTCTTAATCCGGCCCTGGACCACAGAATTTGACAAAAAACAAAAAGTGTTCTGTGTAGAGGCGCTTTATAGTATTGAATATTTAAAGTTAGCAGTTACCACGAAGTGTGAGTATCTCATTCACAGCACATGCAATGTATGTGAATATAAGTGATATGAGTGGAAACCAATTACCACCAGTGACAATAGTGGAGCGCTAGAAAACGTCACTTACATAATCGAGATGCAGCAATATGCTAGATAAATAAGAGAAACACAATATAGTGTAGTATAGTATAGCGTAGTATAATTAATATACACTCACATGGAATAGAGCCACATAAGGACAGGCTCAGATCTCACGAGTAGATGTGTTCTAAGGGGACACAGGCCCTCTTCAGTCTTTATCCGTATTGACTCAATGGCAGATATAAAACAAAAAACAAAGCAGCTACTGGTGAAGTACGGTTGAAAATGTGAGAATGGCTAAAGGTAAGTATAGATCTTGCTCACTTGATTAAGAGCCAATTGGACCGGGCTCTGGCATATGCAGCTTGTGTGTCTCTGAAAGGGGGACACTGCCCTTCTTTAATCCAGGAAGCAGTGGGAGTGTAATAGCACAGACTTGAAGTAAAAGATATTACATTTATTAAACAAAAGGTTACACATATATCAAATATACAAAATAAAAATCTAAAGTGCTCCAATCCTGCTGAGACGCGTTTCGCCACGTCTTGTGGCTTTCTCAATCGGTATTTGCTTCCTTTCTTTACCCGTCTTTTAAATCCTTGAGTCTTTCCTCATAGGTCACTTCATCCAAGATCCGTCCAATCATAGGTGTTCTACCTGGGAGGTGTGTGTATAACAGCTGTCTTCAATCTGTATATAATGTCGGGGGAAGTGATGCGATAGTTATTTGCGTCACTTCTGTCATATTTCCTTCGCCATCTTGTTTGAGGGTATATTCAGGGAAAGTTCAGTGTAGATCCAAGAACCGGAAGTGACGTATCCTTTCAAAAGTCACGTCACTTCCTGGTTACGGTCTACTGATGGCGTCCATAGTAATCACAAAGTCCAACATAGATCTAGAAAATGTGGGGCTGAAAGTATAGTATCATCAGCCCCCAGAAAGAACATAATCAGTGAGAGATCCAAACTAAAGAGTCATTTATAATTAAAAACAGTATATAAAAACATGGAAAACTTTGAACACGATAAAATCCTAAATAATAATAGAACAAACACTGTGAGCCAGAAATTTATTGTTAATATTATCATTATTATTTAAATCTAGAACAAACACTCCGAGCCAGACATTTATTATTATTATTATTATTATTATTTAAATCTAGAACAAACACTCCGAGCCAGACATTTATTATTATTATTATTATTATTATTATTATTATTATTATTATTATTATTTAAATCTAGAACAAACACTCCGAGCCAGACATTTATTATTATTATTATTATTATTATTATTATTTAAATCTAGAACAAACACTCCGAGCCAGACATTTATTATTATTATTATTATTATTTCAATCTAAAACAAACACTCAGAGACAGAAATGTATTATTATTATTTGAACCTAGAACAAAGAGTCAGAGCCAGACATTTATTATTAATTGAATCTATAACAAACACGCCAAGACAGAAATGTATTATTATTATAATAATCTAGAACAAATAGTCAGAGCCAGACATTTATTATTAATTGAATCTAGAACAAACACTCAGAGCCAGACGTTTATTATTATTATTTAAATCTAGAACAAACAGTCCAAGACAGACATTGTTTGTTCTAGATTCAATTAATAATAATAAATGTCTGGCTCGGAGTGTTTGTTCTAGACTTAAATAATAATAATAATAAATGTCTGGCTCGGAGTGTTTTTTTATAGATTCAATTAATAATACATTTCTGGCTCAGAGTGTTTGTTCTAGATTATAATAATAATAAAAAAATGTCTGGCTCGGAGTGTTTGTTCTAGATTCAATTAAGTTCTAGACAAACACTCCGAGCCAGACATTTATTATTATTATTTGAATTTAGAACAAACACTCAGAGCCAGACATTTATTATTATTAATTGAATCTAGAACAAACACTCCGATCCAGACATTTATTTACAGCGAAATGTTGTGGAACAAATACTAAGATGTAAATTAAGTTTGAAGTAGCAAAACTCTAACTAGAGCTGATTTGTATTTTCTTTTCCTGCTACATTTTGTATTCACTAGTCGAGTTTAGTGCCTTGTAGACAGCTATAACGTGACAGAGGAGATGATCAATATATAGGAGTTTTGCTTAGAGCAGGTCTATAAGAACAAACCCTCTCAATTCTAACCTCTAACGCAGCACCTGCCCTCTGAAATCTGATTTCAAACTAATTCCTTTCAGATCTGATGGGACTTGTTACAGTTTCTGGTTCACGAAATAATTTTATCTGAGTTGTGAAATTGTACACATTACCCGTCTCCAGCATTGCATGCGCTCTCCTATCTCCTGTAAGTAGGGCACTCACCAACTCATGTATTATTTGCTTAGTTACTAAGAGGTGTAAACATTGGAGCAATGCAACTTTCAGTCATGTCTGAGTGAAGAGAGGGGCAGGCAGCTTGGGCAATGTGTTTTACCCTATGAAGTCTTCTCTTCTCAGTCTATCTGGCACATTGGCATATTTTACAACAGGATCATGAATTAGCTACAATTTATAAACCGAAATGTGTATAGAGGGGCGCTCAGGATTTGAAACAAAATGTAATTATTAATTATATAGAAAAAGAGAACACTAATTTAACTAACCAAATGATTCAGTCCAAAAAGGTTTTTACTATTGTGGAGATTGCAGAGGCTGTAAAATTAGAACAGATACAATTAAAAATAAAGAATTCTTCCTTGCTCATAAAACAAATCAAAAATATACTATCAATTCATTTTTGACATGCAGTTCCAAAAATTTCATCTATGTTCCCGTATGTCCATGTGACCTTCAGTATAAACATTAAGGCAGCTGAAGGTCAGAATACGAGAATGTCTATATACTATAAGTAGAGGTAACTGCAATCATAGTGTTTCTCAACATTTCTTGGACTACCACAACAAAGACCCAAGCCAATTGACCTTTTTCGGTATTCAACATGTTAAGGCTCATTGGAGGGGGGCAGTGTGTTCTCTAATCTCAGCAAAAGCGAGCTGAAATTGATTTTTTATTTAGACACACTGTCTATATATCGATATGGAACTTAGTGTTTTAATTTGATGTCTTATTTTATGTTTCTATTTTTATTGATATACATAACTGTATTTATAAACACTTTTTAATGTCTTTTAAATATTTACTGATAATATTTGTATTTATTTTTTCAGTTTCCCCATTGTTTTACAAGAATGTTCATATAACACGGTAATAATGTTATTACAATGATCTTATTAAAGTTACTAATGACCTAATTGCAGCAAAATCAAAAGGCCACTACTCCATACTAATTCTTCTTGACCAGGGCCGGACTGGGAATAAAAAGCATCAATGGAAATGTTTACACCAGCCCTAACATTAATTGTGCCAACTGTGACAGATATACAGGTGGAAAAACACAAAAGATTGAAAATTATTTACCCAACGTTTCATCTCCATAACCTTGAATAGTCCAGTAATGGGAATGAAACATTGACTGATTGCTGCTGAATGTCTGATTTAAATGAATCTTATTTTGTTTAGTCCTCAGTCCTATGAGTGCACCCCCAACTCTTTTCCGCAGTGTCTGATGTCAATTCTGTGCATAAAATGTGTCTGTCTGCATGCACTTCACGCTAACAATAAACACGAAAATCTTCCCCCTGCAGGCAGAGCATCTAGCTCTACCCTCCTTCATGCCTCCCTCCATGCAACATTTGTATTTTTTTTTTCTTCTTTTTTTTTTTTTTAAACCCTCCCCTCTCATTACCAGCCTTCACTGGACTGCGGCTCTAGTGACATCGGAAGAGCAGCCCTGGGAGCTTGTCTGGCCACCAGGTGTTAAAAACCTTGTATTTATTCATTTTTTTTACAGATGTTACTATGAATTGAGAGGGGTGACCTTCTCTACAGTTGCCAATAAGTCATATTACATCGTAAAGGTTCCCCCTTTAGAGTGTTATCGTAACCCTTTAAACTATAATAAATAAAATAAATTTAAGCTGTGTATATTAAATACATTGTCCTTATTGGTAAGTTACTAACAGCCCGTCCTGGCCATACCCAGTCATGCTCCTAAAATGAAAGTGAACTCTTTGTCCATTTGAAATATTGGGAGGTGTGGGGCATTAAGCTCATCCTGGCCAGAGCACTGCAAAAGCACTGTGTTCATGTACTAACCTGAATGGGCCTCTTCAGGCAGCCTTGCCACCTTTAAAGTTAGGACCACATGTCTCCACTCCACCCAGTTGTTTAGGGTGCTGCCACCTCGTTGAGTGTGATTTCAGTCACTCATTGTCAGGAATCCCTACATATCCTACATGCAAGGCAAGTAAAAACTAAGCTGGGTCAAGGATAACAGAGGACTAAAAACAAACTAACAAACGAAAATAAGCTGAGGTCAAGACCATAAAAGGTACCACAACAAGGTGGGGGGGGTAAATATGTGAGGCAGACTATGCTATTTATGCTACGCCAAAATGTCCATCTGTTCCATCTGTGTGCACGTTGTTGCCTGTGTCATTAGAGTAACAAACATGCTGGAGAGAATACATTTTTACATACATCTGCGTCAGAATGGTGCAAGTTAGAGCTCTCGTACTGTTGGTAGTACAGGGGTAACCACAACCTCCAAAAGGTTCAGTAGACTGAGGAGTACCCTGCATTCTGTCAGAATTACCTGTAACCTCGTAAGAATGGATGCAGATCACCAGAATTCTAGCAGGTAACGTTATACTTAAAGGAACACTATAGGGTCAGAAACACAAACATGTATTCCTGACCCTATAGTGTTAAAACCACCATCTAGCCTCACTAAATATAGTAAAATCTTACTTGTGTTCAAGTCTGCAGCTCCTGGCTCTGCCCCTGTCTGCTTCAGACCTGCCCCTGTCTGCTGCTATCATCATAAGTGGTTGTCTGAGTCAATCACAATGCTTCCCCATAGGACTGGCTGAGACTGACAAAGAGGCAGATCGGGGCAGAGCCAGCATGATTCAAACACAGCCCTGGCCAATCAGCATCTCCTCATAGAGATTAATTGAATCAATGAATGTCTATAAGGAAAGTTCAGTGTCTGAATGCAGAGGGAGGAGATACTGAATGTTTGGATGCATTTTAGGCAGCCATGACCCAGGAAGGATCTCTAACAGCCATCTGAGGAGTGGCCAGTGAAGTTATCCCTAGGCTGTAATGTAAACACTGCATTTTCTCTGAAACAAACAGTGTTTACAGCAAAGAGCCTGAAGGTAATGATTCTACTCACCAGAACAAATTCAATAAGCTGTAGCTATTCTGGTGACTATAGTGTCCCTTTAAAGCCTCAAGTTAAAGTGTGTGTGTCTGTATATATTTATATGTATGTGTATCTGCTAGGGACTTTAATTCCCCACAGTAGGGCAATATACGAAGAGGGTTCCTACTTCAAAACTCAAGTCTGGCGTGGGTAGACATGAGCAACAGTCCTAATTTATGCCAATTCGGCGTCACGTCTCTTAATCATTTAAAATGTAAAAAGTGTGGCATTAACCTTATTTGTGAATTGTCCCTGGCCTGAAAGATATGTCATCTGTTGTCATGTTGGATTGATTTCCGAGCCATTGAACACGTCAGGATGGGATGCAAGCTGTTCATGTTTGGTGGCTGCAGAACCAGGAGCTCACATTGAATGATACCTGGATATAATTATCATACAATCTGGAAGGTCTTTGCAAGTTTAGGGTTTTCTGTATTTTGTTCGAAGTCTTGTTTTGATTTTGGATGTCTCCGCACTGTGTATTGTTTGCTTATTTTGTCTCTCGTATTGTCAAGCCAAGGAAAACCTTTCTCATCATGGTACCACATTGTTACTTGTTTAGATATAGTTAAAGTATACACCCCCAGAATGAGTTGGTGCAAAATGTATATGTAACCAAAGATGCCCTTACACAGCCTTGGTGGCGACAGCATATTATCTATAACCTGGGATGATGTAGGTAGAATTTGTGGATTCATTTAGTGTAACTTTATATAAACTGGTAGATAATGATCTTAGTAAATCCTGAGAGGTGTGGGGAAATTTGATGTCTCTCCCATTCTGTCATTATCCCAGATTTGGACATAGTTTATATTATGTATAGGATGAATGGAACAAAAGTAAAATCATGGACATTAATAATATCGTTGGTCCTATTTGATGCTATAACAGAGTCCAGTCTTAACTTTGGACCCTAAGGTAGCGAGTACAATCACAGTGTGAGTGCAGGCTGCTACCCAGTCTCGTGCTCAGTCTAAACAGACTCAGGTTTATTTTCAGGAGAAAAAGGCAGGTGATCTGTGCATTAATATTTGTGCCCCACTGAATAAAAACAAACAACGTGCACTTATCACTTGTCCCACAAGGTGGTAGCGCTGAGCACGGAAATAGACACCCATGCACTACCATGAACTAAGTCATACAGTGCAATGCAGCTTTACATTAGTAAACTAAATACTGACACTACACTCGTTAGAATGGGTTTTCCAGCCATCCTGTGTTCTCTTCGATCACTTCCAGAGTTCTGCCCACCGCATGGCCACTCGCGTATAACTGCAGGAATTCTAGTCTGAAGAAGCGAGCAAGACACGTTTACTGATCTGAGGATTTATTTAACAAATTTACTGTTACGTCCAATGTCTCGCTGTCTAAATAAGTCAGTTTGGAAGTAGAACTCTAACTGCCATGATGCTGTGTCAGGTTTTAGAATGTTCTGTAACAGTTGGTGATCTACCATTTTCCCACCCCTCATCTAAACACATTAAAGGATTACAGGCCTCCCAACAGTCCTGCTTTTGGTGGGACAGTCATGATTATGGGCTGCTGTCCTGCCCTCGTGCTTTAGTTCCCTGGTATCCCGCCACACATCATTAGATGCGACACTCAC